AAGGCCTTGTGACCATAACCTTGACATAGTGACCCCAAAATCAAAAGGGATAATCTACTAGTTATGTCCAATTCGTATGTGAAATATGAAGACTTTGTGATACATAATTTCTTTAATCATCAGCGGAAACCTGGAGTCTGTTTTCAATTAAAAATTCTAATTGAAAATAAACTGTCATAAAATAAACTGTAAATCCTCAATAAATAATTAATTGATATATATTACAAAAACATGTTACAGAAATATTTGATAAAAATTCCTTTTTCCAATTTGGGTTTTGTACCTATTAGATAAACTATGCTAGGTACATTGTTAATAACAAAGATTACAGCATGCCTTGTCTTATCTAGACCGTTAATAACATATTTTGTTAAGCGTGCTGCGTGCAACAAGGCTGCGTTGATGACGCGCCCTGGGCGGAATCTTATACAGTTTGCAGTCCCTCGAAGACAGTATTTCAACAACAAATTCAGTCCAAAATATCGTATAAGAATGATGTACATGCATTACAAAAGTTTCTATGATTTATATGTAAATACAGAATAATCATTACACAAAGGTTATAATGCATATAAGTTAATATATAGCTATAACTTCATGTAATCTTATATCATTTGACAGATTGGTACTTATTTTAAAATAATACAAGGCAAAATGGGTAATTAAGCTTTGCATATAAGAGGTTCCATTTATCTGAAAAGTACTATAGATGACACACACACAAAAAAAAATAGAAATTCTATAGTAACTTAAAAATTGATCAAAACATTTCTATTTATATTTACAGTTTGGTAAATGAGTCTTTGTTTTGAATACTAAATAGTTTAGCTTTAAGCTTTCCTATTTCTTATGATTTGTAAAGAAGCTCACATTATTACAATTAAAACAAGTAAATATTTCATAAAAAGAGACATAAAACTATTCTGTTACATAAAATTCTATAAATACGAAATAGAGTACAATTTCACAAGAATGTAAGAAAAAGGTATATTTCCTACAAAATTTCATTACTTAATTTATCAATTGTGATTATTGCTTCAAACAAATATTACAAGTTGAGTTTACTTTCACAGAGAAAATTACATTATAACATTAAAATATGAATTATGTTGTACAAACCTGGAAATTGCGAAGGCAGATTTAAAATTACAACAAATTTATTAGGTCCAAAGTATCGAATAAGAATGATACTTTATCTCTCCAAAATATCCTTAGAAAAGTTGTCTTCGTTTCTCCTACATATGATTGGTAATTTCATTTAATGCAAAATAAGGTGATAACCTATCAACTTATTAAAAGCAAAACAAGTTTTTACAATGATGAACATCCTTTACAGAACAAAGGTGTTAATGGATGCCATTTGCCCAAAACAACAATTGTAAATGTTTGAAATTCAAAACATATTTAAGAAAAGTTTTTCTCAAATGCAATTACGAAATAACAATTTTTGGAACAATGTTCACAATAGAATATAAAAAATGTAATATTTGAAATCTATATTTTAAGAAAAGATTCTGATATTAATTTTAACTTTTTAAATTAGTGAATTTAATAAAATGTATTTTTAAAACATTTAACCTGTTTACTTTAAATAATCATTAATTATGATGTATTACATAATTTTATATAAGGAAAAAGGCACATCGTAATACATCTAATAACAGCTAAAGATAATTAACACAGTTTCTAAATTCTGAACTGATTTATCCCGGTCAGAAAGCAAGTTTGGCAGTTTGTTAAGTTTCAAATTTATCTTTGATTAATATGGGAGGGGGAAAGTGTATGAAAGTGACATTGACTCTTGACCCTTTGTACTTCTTGTAACTATTTTAAAAATCTTTATTGCTCTTCATCTTTCAATAAACTGAGGGTTTTGAACATATTAATAATTCTTGCAAAATATCAATGGAAAACAAGTGAGGTTTTTCGCACACATATAATGGCTGTGAAGGAATGGTCAGCTGTATTCCTTTAGAAAAGCCGAATAAAATGCTACCTAGATGAAATTCTGTTTAGATCAGCTCATTTGTTGAAATTAAAGGGGAAGCTTTATAACACGAAAATTGCATTTGTAATCTCCGTACTAGTCCTTGATTATACTGCATACGAAATAATGCAAAAGGGGTGTCAGAATACACCTCTAACTGTAAAGCTGGAAGATTTCAATGTAACCATATTGCTGGAAAGCTATAGCGTAACGAAACTAACCATACCCATATAGCTGGAAAGCTACAATATTACCTTACCAGTATAGCTGGATAGTTACAAAAATGTTACATGTACCTTAACCATATACATGGAAATCTACAATGTTACCTTCATCGTATAGCTGTAAAACTACAATGTTACCTCAAACAATGTTACCTTGCACATATAGCTGGAAGGCTACAATGTAACCTTTACTGTTTAGCTGTCAACCTATAATGTAACTTTCAATACATAGCTGTAAAACTACAATGTAACCTTACCATTATAGCTGAAAAGCTTTAATGTTACCCTTATCATATGGCTGGAAGGTTACAATGTAGCCTAACCTGTATAGCTGGAACACTATAATGAAGCCTTAAGTAACCGTTTAACTGTAAACCTTACCCGTATGTATGGAAAGAAACAATGTTACCTTACCCATAAACCTGAAAAGCTATAATGTAACCATAGCCTTTAGGCTGTAAAACTACAATGTAACCTTACCCGTATACATTTTTGTATATAGAAAGATACAATGTTACATTACTCGTATAGCTGTAAACCTACAATGTAACCTTATCTATATATATGGAAAGATACAATGTTACCTTACCTGTATAGCTGTAAAGCTACAATGTAACCAGAGCCTTACGGCTGTAAAACTATAATGTAACCATACCTGTATATATGAATAGTTACAATGTTACTTTTTCCATATAGCTGTAATGCTACAACATAATTATAACCGTTTAACTGTAAAAATTTAATGCTACTTTACCTGTATAGCTGGAAGGCTACAATGTTACCTTAATTGATAAGCTTTAAACCTATAATGTAACCTAAACAGTATAGCTGTAAAGTTTCAATGTAACATTAACCGTATTCTAGAGTAGTTGGAAAACTACAATGTTTCCTAACCTGTATAGCTGGAAAGCTACAATGTAACCTTAACAGTATAGCTTGAAAAGAACAATGTTACCTTAACCATAAAGCCAGAAAGCTACAATGTAACATTAACCGTATAGTTGGAAAGCTACAATGTTACCTTACCCATATAGCTGGAAGCTACAATGTTACCTTACCCATATAGCTGGAAAGCTACAATGTTAACTTACCAGTTAAGCTGGAAAGCTTCAATGTAACCTTACCCGTACAGCTGGAAAGCTACAATATAACTTTACCCGTATAGCTGGAAGCTAAAATGTTACATTATCCATATAGCTTGAAAGCTACAATGTTACCTTACCCGTATAGCTGTTACCATACCCATATAGCTGGAAAGCTACAATGTTAACTTACCAGTAAAGCCGGAAAGCTACAATGTTACCTCACACGTATAGCTGGAAGCTAAAATGTTACATTACCCATATAGCTTGAAAGCTACAATGTTACCTTACCAGTATAGCTTGAAAGCTACAATTTTACATTTACAGTATAGCTGCGAAGATACAATGTTACCTTACTATATAGCTGGAAGATATATTATAACCTTACCCATATAGCTGGGAAGCTACAATGTTTCCTTACCAGTACAGCTGGAAGATATATTATAACCTTACCCATATAGCTGGGAAGCTACAATGTTACCTTACCCATATAGCTGGAAGCAATAATGTTACATTACCCATATAGCTGGAAAGCTACAATGTTACCTTACCCGTATAGCTGGAAAGCTACAATGTTACCTTACCCGTATAGCTTGGAAGCTACAATGTTACCTTACCCATATAGCTGGAAAGCTACAATGTTACCTTACCCGTATAGCTGGGAAGCTACAATGTTACCTTCACAGTATAGCTGGGAAGCTACAATGTTACCTTTTCAGTATAGCTGGGAAGCTACAATGTTACCTTACACGTATAGCTGGGAAGCTACAATGTTACCTTACCCGTATAGCTGGAAAGCTACAATGTTACCTTACCCATATAGCTGGAAAGCTACAATGTTACCTTACCCGTATAGCTGGGAAGAAACAATGTTACCTTACCCATTTAGCTCGGAAGCTACAATGTTACCTTACCCGTATAGCTAGGAAGCTACAATGTTACCTTACACGTATAGCTTGGAAGCTACAATGTTACCTTACCCATATAGCTGGGAAGCTACAATGTTACCTTACCCGTATAGCTGGGACTATACAATAATACCTTTACAGTGTAGCTAGGAAGCTACAATGTTACCTTACATGTACAGCGGGAAAGCTATAATGAAACATTAACTGTATAGCTGGAAAGATACAATATTACTTTTAACTTTAAAAATCAATCTCATCTTCCAACACCCAGAAATATGAAATACAAAATTAATATCTGAAGTAGTGTAGCTGAATGTTTACCAAAACTTTCTTAATGAGTTTTCAACTTTGTTTCTATATTAATCTGGACTTTCTTACTCATTAAAATAATTAAGTTTAATTTCTTGTATATCATATTTTACTTTATTTTACAGTTCAATATTACAACCATTGTGTTATCTAACATGTTGCATTCAAATTAACCATTGTCGATTTTGTGTAATAGAAATATCAAAATTAATAAACAGGCTGCATAAAACCACAGGTGCCATCTGTGCATTGAACAGTATAAAGTTTGTATTAAATCTTTCAACTTTGAATATTTTCTACCCAAGTATATTAAAATAAAAAAATATGAATTAAAAAATGCCATTAGCTTGGCGTATTAAAAGATCATTATCGGTAACAGGAATTAAGACATTTTTTCTTAAAATTGTTCAGGTTATTTACTTCCTGGTGTTTATTGCAATCCTATGTAAACACCTAACACTTTGTATTGTAATAAGGTTTATTGATTTTAATTTAGAAAGGACTTTGGATCAACATTTTAACAGATCAAATATTTTGCCATTGGCAATCTTAGTAGCGTGAATCTTTACAAATAACTTAAGAGCTAAAATTGGAAATGATAATTGTACATGGAAATTAAAAAAGGAATAAGTTAAATATCAGTACAGTAAATAAAAGTATTATGTTCAAAATGACTGTGAAGTGAAAATGGGACAGCTTTATTGGTGAATAGATCAGTTCAAATAACAACTTGATCAAAATTTCTACAAAATGGCGACTTGTAAACAAATAGATACGGATATTCTTTCCGATGGAATATTTGATGTATTATGTTCAATGTGTAAAAATAAAGGGAAAAACACTGAAGGTGTAAAATTCTGTGTAGACTGTAAGGATTATTTCTGTATAACTTGTGTTCAAGTACATGGTCAAGTACCTCTGTGTGCTCGTCACAAGGTGTTGAATAAATCTCAAGTAAAGTCAGGAACCAGCAAATGTCTGCCCAGGGCACCAACAGAGAGATGTGACAGACACAGTCATAAACACATTGATATGTACTGTCAGAACCATGATAATGTTGGCTGTTCTACATGTATGACAGTTGATCATAGGTAAAATTTACATTTATATAAACATAGATTATATTTTCAATTAAAGTAACATTATGCTCATTTTTTTCATTGTCAAGTTGAGCTGAATTGACTATATATTTCACATGATGGACTGTTATAATAGTGATTGACCAACAGTTGCTCAGGATGAAACATAAATCTACCAGAAATATAAATAGACTGCCCTACTCTCTTTATAAATTGAATGTTACAGGTAAATTTCGATGGATATTTATATACTCTTGGATGGACATAATGTCACTTTAATATATAGAATGTTTAATATGTACTTAAAAGTCTTCACATAATATTCTATCTTAAATACTGATATGCTACAGAGGATTACATATCATCTCTACAGTCATATCATAGCCTCATATTCATAAACTGCCTTAACTTATTTTTCAGATTATGCAAGGATACATTCTACATACCAGAATTTATCCAAAATAACACATACCAAATTTCTTCAAGAGAAATTCAAACAAAGTTGAAAGCGTTAGCTACCACCCTTGCAGAACAAGCTGATAGATTTAAACAGGATAAACAAAGGCTGTTAAAGAGGAAAGCAGAACTACTGGCTGATATCAGAAAATTCCGTCAAGAAATCAATGACCATCTGGACAAGCTGGAGAAAAGTTCTATAGATGAGATAGAAGATAAAGTCAAATGTCTTGAAGACAAGATAGAAGATGGTCTCAAACAGCTACAAGCAAATAAGTTTAGGATTACATCAGCTCATGATAAATTAGCATCTACCAAAGCAGATCCAGCTGAAGTATTTGTAAATGTGAAGATGGCACAGGATGCTGCAAATGTTGCCGACAAGTATATGGAGCATGTCAAAATGAAAAGTACAGTAGAAGACATCAACTTTGAACCTGATAGAGCAATTCTTACGCAGTTTGAACAGAAGAACACCCTGGGTAGATTAACAGAGAAACCTATAAAGCCTGCTGCCAATTCATTTCAGAGTAAAGAAAATCAATCATATAATGTTAAAGTTATGTCTGATGAAAGCAGTTGTATTATCAAGAGTGCCTGCTGTATGGAAGATGGTACAATAATTCTAGCTGATTCCACCAACAGGAAGCTTAAACGGTTACACAGTTTCAACTATACTGTAACTGACGATTATGATCTACCTGGATTCCCACATCAAGTGTGTATGATCAATAACACACAAATAGCAGTAAATGTTCCATTACAAACGGAAGTTCATTCCATTTCACTAGAGAGAAAAATGAAAACAATAAAAAAGTTTAACACTGATTTTATATGTTATGGTCTTGCATATGCAAACAATAATTTATATATTTCAGACTTTGACACATCAGTTTATATGTATACATTGTCTGGTAGTAAACTTAATCAGTTCAGTAAGGATCTATCAGGACATGAGCTGTTCTCTCACATATACAGTCTAGCTGTCAGTAAGGATGCTACAAGGATTTATGTTGCTGACTTTGATAATGGACTGATAGTACTAAACAAGAATGGTCAGGTTATTACATCATATAATGATGAACAACTAAAAGGGGCTAGCTGTTGCTATCTCACTGAAGTAGGCAGTGTGTTAGTATCTGGAAATTACTCCAATAATGTTTTACAGTTTACATGTGATGGTGAGCTGATAGGAGAGGTTATACAAGCCGATTGTAGAAAAGGGGAAATTAGATCAGTCTGTTGCAATCAACAAATGTCAAAGATGTATATAAGTAGATGTATGGATGACAACATTGAAGTGTACGATATCTTATCTTTTAAATGAACCGCTATCATAATCAATAAAAATATTAATTAAATATCATCCTGATTCATATGTAAAATTTTATATTTAAACATAAAATGTTAAAAGAAAACAAAGTCACTTAAATAACATGATTGTGACAAGTATATACATGTACAATATGTAATGATACTAGTTTAATTCATTGTGAATATAAATGAATTGTGTTATGAAAAATTTATTTGATCTATCATATACATTACACTTAACAAATCTTATAAGTGTGCACCTTTTATGTCCTTATAACTTTTTTGTTCATCAATATTTTTTTACAAAATTTTGGGTTCTGACTATTGGCTGCATTTCCACACTTTTTAGGTGCTCAAACTTGTCAAATTTAAGTATGCGGCGCGTTCAACCGTGAACGTACAAAATTCACACAATGCACGAAAAAAATGTGTGAATGCGTGAAAGAAAATAGCACATGATATTCTCGGATACCATAGAGATCCACATATCAGAAAAACATAACATATGGGTACATTATCTATTCAACAGCGTGGCATAACCCTAGGATTGGTCTACGCTGGAGTACACCAATCAGATACTGGTAAAAAATAATTTGTTTATAAAATTATTTAAACTCCATTGCATTGTAAAAACTGAAAATCATTTAAATTCAGTTCCTTCCAAAGACGAACGTAATTGCATATCTGTTTTTTTACTTATTACATGTTAATATCATTTGGAGCAACGCATGGTGGTCACCGCAATGTAATAACAAGGCGTAAGAAGGCTTATCTTCATAACAGAGTAGCTGGTAGCGTTTACAACATTCCTCGACGACCCCAAAATTATCTCCAACGGTATGCTACATTGATTGACGACGCTCCACGGCTGTAATGCACAATCAGAGTGGCACACACGGTTTAAGAACATCAGTTTGCAACATCGACTTTCGACACGCACTCACATTTTTTAGAAATACATCTTAAAATTTATTTTAAATGAAAAAAAAAACGAATAAAAATATTAGCCTGACTCTTTTCTGTATTTATTGAAAATTTCAGCATGATCAGGCAAATATTGATACACCTATGAGACCATTTATGCATGCACACTTATAAGATTTGTTAAGTGTATATTGTTGCATTAAGATTTAATACAAAATTGATATGTTTTAAATTGGATGTTGTGTAAAAGAGATTGTATCCATGGGATAAATAAATGTATAATTTAAAAGCCTAAATTTTCTATCTGATTTGAAATTAATTCTTTTTGTATAACTTTATTATTTAATATATGTGCTTTCTTTCATGACCAAATACTGCTTATCATACGATGAATATTGTGTCAATGACAAACAAGGGGTCCTTTACATATATTCATATACTTTTAACAGTGATTATTAATAACATATAGCGAGATGGGTGGTCCTTTGCACAGTTTAAAGCCCTCACAAGTTTGTAACTGTTGTTTATTGTATAACAAGACATGCACACGGTTAAAATGTCGAGCCCGCTCGTCTTAATTCAAACCTGAACCCATGAGCTTCAGATCAAGGAGAAAGATGTATACATAGGTGAGAAGTGCGCAACACATCCTCTTTATATCCAAGTTAAAATCTTGACATTGCATTATCTTGGGTGACCTTGACCTCTGACTCGGTGACTTGTCTCATGTACATGACACAGTCACATGATAAACATTTGTGCCTCAAAAAATTTGTTCATGTTATATAAAAATTCCATCATGCACATAGAAGTTATGACATGAACAATTTTGGATGCACGTTTGACCTTTTGTGACCTTTACCTCTATTTTGCGCATAACAACTCAGTTTGCCATGGAAAATATTTGCGCTAAGTTATATTAAAATTCATCAATGTATTTAGAAATAATACTCACAAAAAATGTTTTAATTTGCTATTTGACCCTAAAGTAAGATCTTTGCCACAAACACCTGAATTTTTCGCACCACATTCCGCCTCACATTTGCCCCAAATTATATTAAAATCCTATCACACATGTAGAATTTACGCGCCGGGCACGGATTAGGGCCAACCTCTCAAGTGTGACCTTGACCTATGAGCGGCAGACCTAGATTTTGTTTGTGACACACCACCCCATAATCATGCACATATGTATCAAACAATTTTGTAATCCTTAAAAATGAGCAAGATATAGACCTGATAAATCTGGACGGACACACAGACTAACGGACGTACAAACACCATACGCAAAAAGTAGTCAAGCTTACCCAAAGTGGGACAAAATTCATACAAAATTCATGCTATGTCAACCTGAAATGCAGTACAGGTAACATGATCAGGTTTGTTCTATATTGTTGTTTGGTTTTTTACAGCGTTCGTACAGTTTCGGTCATGCAGTAGAATCAAATGAAGCATTAAAGTATGTACATTAAAGGGTATTATATATGAATTGTAAATGTTGCTTACCAACAGTATCTATAATACATAATCACATTATGTCCGACATTTATGCCAAGTAGTTTTAATTTCCTTTTATTTAAAATATACAGAGCAGATACTTAGATGCTGATGGAGTGACAGACAGACAACGAGGGTCACGCCGATAATTACATGTCTGAAATCCTTAAGAATGTATAAAAAGATTGCCAGGCATATTTTTCAATCATAATATAACCAAAATACACTTTACAACATATCTCATACAAGAGCTGGTCGAACCAGAGTATGCTCGTTTAAAGGTTTTGGACACAGGAGAAGTAGTTTCTTGTTGATATCGTTTGTAGTTTCGGACAAAGTTCAAAGTGTAAAAAGGCAATAACTCCAAAATACGACAAGACAGAGTTGCGGTTCTTTTGCCCCGGACAAAGGTTGAAGTGTAACAATGAACAAAGGGCAATAAATCCAAACTTAGGTAAGGCAGACTTATTGTTCTTTTGCTCTGCACATCTACTTAATGAGAAAGTTTCTTGTTAATACCTCTTGTTGTGAGAGTTATCTCCCGGACAAATTCTGTGTAAAAAATGAACATGGGGCAATCATTCCAAATTTGGCATGACAGAGTTCTTTTGCACTGCACTTCTACTCAATGCGATCTATCTACTTACAAAGTTTCTTGTTGATACCTCTGGTAGTTTTAAGAGTTATGTTCTGGGCAAGAAAAGTGAACAGACGGACGTACATATAATGGTACTAATGTGATTTTTCCATTTATCTTTTAAGTCATTTTCAGTCACACAAGGCCTTAAAAAAGAAAAACCGTCAAGCAGTCAAGTAAAAAAATAAATAGGATCAAAAACATGTACCGTATTGCTTTCCTAGTCATACACGTATCTCTGTGTTTGTATGGACAGAAAAACTGACCAAGCTGCTTCTATATGCTCTCTCTTAGTAGAGCATTATAAATGCGATTGTCTACTGTTCACTAGAATAAAGGTGGCGATGTTGACTTAAGTATGCTATGCTTCCAAAACAAAGCTAGGCCATCTTGCACATCCAAACACTTTTACCAAGCCCTATTGTTAGATGTACTTACCTTAAACATTTCACTTTGAATTGAATTTAAAATTGATTAAAACTGTTCCAAATTCAAATCAAATATCATAAAAGATATTCATGAGGAAAGGCTAATACTTGTTTCCAAATTCACATTATATTAAGCAAAATAAACACAAGCAATCTCATTGACAATGTATATTTTATTCAAGTCCAAATTTCATTAAAATCATCTTCACTTAAAAGAGCACATAATGAAATAACAGATATTAATTGGCTGAAACAAATATTCATTCACAATTCAACAAAAATATGCTGTCAACATTTATAAAAACAAATAAATCTCTGCATGTATTAACAAACACATAATCATTAATCTACATGTAAAATATCAGCTTTCAGAAAGAATAAAAGTAGTAAAGAAAAGAAAATTTGTTATCTGGGGGATAACATATAATTTATATTTAAGATGTGAGTTCATTATAGTTAACTCCTAACAATGTGAATTTTAAAAGTAATTGGTTCCGTTCGATTTTCATAGCTGTCCATTAACATAGTTTTGATACCAAGAAGAAATATTTGAACATGGTCTGCTGACAAGTTATTCGTTAAGACCATCAACAAATGGAACATTAATCTTGAAAAATATTTGCAGTCAGTTTGTGGTTAAAAAGCCTCAGGGGAGTCCCTTTAAATGTATTTTCCTTTTTAAGTCTATATAAATCAAAAGACCCCTGGGCAGGCCAATATTTACCCCAGGGGCAGTTTTGTAGAGGCTAACAAAGTAATACTACATGCTTAATATCTTAGTTCTTGCCATAGTAGTTTCACACAATAATAACATTTTTTTGTCTAAAAAAGGCTATATATTGCCATATATTGACCCAAAGGACATGGTTAAAATTTATATCAGTTTTAATGAAGTCAGTAAGGAAATGATGCATGCAAAATATCTTAGCTCTGTGAAATGTAGCTTTAAATAATAGGTCTCAAATATATTTTATAGTTGTCTTTATAAATATATGTGACCACCAGGGTACAACATATATTGACACAAGGGGCATGATTTATATCAATTTTGTAAAGGTCAACAAGGCAATGCTGCTGCCTGCCAAAGATCTAGACTCTCCGCATTACATGTTGTTTCACCAAAATAAGACTTAAATGTGTTTTCCAAAATAAGTCTATATAAATCAAGTGGGGTCAGTATTAAACTTAAGGGCATGATACATATCAGTTCTAAAAAGGTCAATAAGGCAATGTTAAAGCTTAATATTTAAGCTCTACACATTTAAGTCTCACACAATGAAACTTAAATGTGTTTTCCTTTATAAGCATATTAATTTCTGCCAGAAAGTTGTAATTTCTTTCTATCGGTTTTAAAAATACTTTTTGGCGTATAATGTTATGTACCTTGCTGTCTGTCCGTCTTTTAGAAGTTTTTATGTCCAGTCTTTTTTTTTAACTTCTCAGCAAAAATATTAACTATAATCAGACGATTGGGAGAGCGCAGGTTTGACCTACCTCTGGTCATGGTCAATGTCACCCTTAATAATTTGTATGAATTTCGTGTCCGCTCTGTATCTTTAGGTATATTTGAAAGATGGTAAAGTTTCTAAGAAGAAAATATTTCATTAAATCACTGGGACCCACTTCAGTACTGACTATTTCATC